TTTTTGTTTTTTTGTTTTTTTACTGAAATAAGTAGCCAGTGCTGAAGTTAATTGTTGTTCTGTAAAGGGCATATGTCTTTTTTCAAAACCCTTGAATCCATCCTAGTCAGCCAACAATACCACTAAATAGCCTGAATGCTAGTCGTTAGCTACTCCATGCTCGTGTGTCTTTCATTTTTAGACAATCATGATTTTGTTTTCATTTTTTTTGTTGGTGTTGTTGTTGTTATTTGCTGTTGTATGTTGAGAACTGTATTTATTTCTTGGCAAACTGTAGTTTGTTTACTGAATAGCACTGCTCTTAGCCCAGGTGAAGGGGAGATTCCTCGCCGGGCCTATCCCAGAGTTCAATGGGGTTTGTAGATTACATTTGAGTGCCGGATAGTATTAAACATACAATTCACTCCTTATTCTTCTAATGAAACCGGTCGATGAATAGATATTACTTAGGATTTTTTTTCTATGACAATTTAATGATTCAATTGTAAAAAATGAAAAACATTATAAAGAATGAATAATAAAAAAAAAGCCAGGTATAATTTCTTCATAAACGCATGATTGGTCTGGTAAGATCTGTATCTGACATTTTCTACGGTTGTCTGCAAGCTTGTGTGACGTTCGGTTCATGTTAATCCCTTGTGCCAAACTTATGATAAATAACAGATTACTTTCATTTATTCTCCCGTTTTGAGGGACCAGATTTTTTTTTTCTGTTGTTGTTTTGTTTATAATCGATTTTAAAAAGTAATCAGCAAGTTGAGGTACTTTGTTTTAATGCTTTCTACAATGTAACTGTTATGCATTTCAATTCAATACTGTGGGAGGAACAACTAAGAAATAAAGGACTACAATGTGGATTGACACGTCTTCCTTTCTCTCTTTATTTCTCCATAAACATTTTACTCACCCTCTGTCTCCTATCTCCCTCACACCTCCCCACTCCATGTAGTCCTTCTGGCTGCCCATCATTTTGGCCCAAACAGAGATTTATACTAAGAGACATGAGTCAGAAAACCACCTGGCGCTTTCTTCTGGCGCTCCCATGGCCTCCAAGAGTGAGGGAGAGCCTGAACTCTGGTCCTCTTTTTTTCTCCAGGCTTTGGCTCGCATAAGAGAGAGGGGAAGGAGAGAAAAGGCTGGAGAGGGCTTGAATGTGGTAGTGGGAGCGGAGGCAGGAATGTGTCCTCTTTATTTGTGTCCGTTTGTGGGGCATGATGGATGAGTTGGGTAGATGTGATGACCTGGCTCATCGCTCAAACGCTCAATAAGAGTCCCATCCTGCAGCAGGCCTCCCCATCCGGCACCCCCCTCTGTCACTGCTGCCAGCCAACGTGGGCGGACATTGTGGCTGGGAGGGTTGGAGGTTCAGCGGCTCCATTGTCCGGAGAGTAGCTCGGGCGGGGGGTTGGAGAATTGGGCATGACAGTGAAGATGGCTGGCGCTGACACTCCACATTTACAGTGCTCTTGGCACCCTAATGGATGGGGTGTTTTCTTAGGGCCTGTCGTCAGCCCTCAGGGCTCCATGGGGCGTCCAGCTTTGATGAGGTCAGTGGGGTCACGCGGTGTTGATGAGGTCAGCATGGGTCGTCCAGCTTTGATGAGGTCAGCTGCAGCGATGGTAGTGATGGAGCAGGCCAGGGCCATAATTGAGTGGAAGTGATAATGGTCCTGAGTGTGAATTCAGCCACCTGTGCTATTGGGGACTAATTTAGTCCAATATGATTATGTGAACTTGTCAGTAGTCATGCAACAGCTTCATTTTTCTATATGATTGGTGTCTGCTCCAATAGCAGTACCTACAGTAAGTTCTCAAACCTGCAATTACTTAGTTTTTGGAAACTTTAGAACATAACACTGACATATCAACTGACATATTATCTTTTACATAAGTATGTATGGTGAACTTGTAAGTATATAGTTGCCTATTTATAAATCCAGTAGTTACAAAACCACATTCTGCCTGACATAGCTTTGTTTTGGGTCTCCGCTAACTGCACAATGTTCACCGGCCAGTCACCGGCTTTGGCTGTCTGCTTTTTGGTAATGGACAGGTAGACTGTACAGTGGCTTTTTAGAGCTTTTTCTCTGAAAACAGCTGCCTGCTGTGGCTAACAATGACACTATGATAGTAGTGAGAGTGAACCAAAACAGTACAGTTGCAGACCGCAAATAAAAAAAATTAGCTGAAAGACAATATAAAACTCCACAGGGCTGAGGGGAACTGCAAAGTCGGGTGTAAATTCTCAGTGATTTGTCACTACAAGCCATCCCTTTCACATTGCACATAGTGAAACTGTTCTGGTGAGAAATATTTTTATAGCAGCTTCAACTACTATTCTTTAGTGCATGTCCGTGTTTCTTCATATTGATGTTTATTTGTGCTTCTAAGAAAGCCAGATATTACATGAAAAAAGCCTGAAATGAACATGGCTTTAACTTCAATTATACTTTAGATTATGTTGTTCCATTTTAAATAAATGTAACAAATACAGAGAAGTGAGAGGTCTTGCATTGATACAAAGGCAAACAACTTATCCTTCTGCAAGTGCAATTAAACTATCTAGAAGCAACTGAAACTCAAAAAGCTTTTAACGAACAAGAATTATACCTTCCCTACATCTAGCAGCAGGATTTTGCCACCAGCCGTCAGTGGCCACGCCCCCACTGCAATTCAAATTGCCCATGTAATTACATCACCTACATAAAGAACTTCCCCCAGACAAAAGTCCAAAGGCACTGCCTCTTGAAAGAACACCAAAATATTATGAATAGACAGCAGTGTGTATAATGTCATTGTGTGTGGGCAGCAGAGTGGAGGGCACCCGGGTGAGTTTGGCAGCTTAGCGTTTAACTGTTGTGTGTGCACTGGTTTGATCAGTGTTGATTAGCACATGCCAATGTCACCCATGTATCCTCTCACACTTAATCAACACGTTGGGACGAGTTATTGCCATCATTAACCCACAGCTTCTCATAAAAGACTCAGTGTGTATTGAAGTGTGGCTCGCAATGCCCTGTATGAGTGTGTGTGTGTGTGTGTGTGTGTGTGTGTGTGTGTGTTAGTGTGTGTTTAAAGAGCTAAGGAAATCAAGACCGGAGTTGCATTAGTCAATGCAATCTGTTTTAGTTAAATGCGAAGTGTGTGTGTGTGTATGTGTGTGTTAGTGAGTGTCAAAGGGGCTGGATCCCCAAGCTCGTGTGTCCTTCAGTGTTGTGTACGTGGACGGGTGGGGCACACTGTGGGCAAACGCTTTTGGGGCTCGGAGCCACTCAGCTAATGGGGCAGCTGGCACAGCCTCAGAATCCATCAGGCCTCATTACAGCTCCTGTTCAGTCACCGTCCTCTCTTTCTGCCCTCCCCTCCTTCCTTCTCTCCTCACCCCAACCCTCCCTTCCTTTCCTCTGCCACCCGTTCACGCAGCCAACCCTGTGTGGCATGTAACTGCCCCACCACCCTCGCTGGAACATACATCACACCCCCAGAGAGAGAGGCCATCACAGCTGGCAGCTCTCACACTGATTGACTTGGCACCCGTGCTGACTCAGACGCCAGGGGAAACATTTTCGGAGAGGGCAGCGTGGATGGGTGTGGGAGTATAGCCTTCATGGAGGGATGGGGGGGTAGAGGGGTTGGTATGGAGCGGTGCTTGCTAACAGTTGGCACAAAGTGGGAAGTGTGTTGGGGTGGGGGACACTCACAAATCATCACATCAAGTTTTTTTATGTTTACAATAATGGTAGCACCTCCTCTGTCGGTGTCCTCCCCTTGAATGTGTGTGTGTGTGTGTCTGTGTGTGTGTGTGTGCAGAGCAAATGATTGCATGAAAGTCCCTTTTTCTTCTTCTTCTCTACTTATCTTCTTGTCTTTCCTCCACCCCTGTCCTCTCCCTCTTAGAAAGCAGCAGAGCTTAAGGTTGTGGTTTCATTACACTGTTTGTTTTTCTCCCTGGAGGCTACGGGTCATTAGTGTTATTGATGGACACTCAGCGCGGTCCACGAGGAACACACCAGGACAGAGCAGAGCAGTCGTGCACATGGTTTTAATATGACGAGTCTAATCAGGACAGGCGTGGTGGCAGAACCACTTGGAGCCTGCTCTTGAAATCATCTCATTCTTTGCTCATGGAGTAGATTAGAAAGTAGCTCATCAAGGCCTTCAGCCCCATGTTTGAGCAGATTAGGGTTGTGATACTGCCGGAGGAATTTAAACGCAAAACGTATGCTTCAGTGTCGGAACAATCTGAATATATAAACTTTATTATGTTAACTGTATTATACTGTGAGTAATCACTTGAATTAAAGGTACCTTCAATGGCTCTATATTTTTTTTCCATATTGAGCGCCATCCAGTGGTGAACATACTAATGTGCACCTACCTACATCTAGTTCAACATTTCACCTATTAAATTAAAAAAAATATATACAGTATACACACACACACACACACACACATATATATATATATAGATTGTACTTAGAACAAGTTGTAAGATCATTTCTGCTGAAATGATTCATTCTTTACACAGACTCCAGAGTGTGGGAGAGTTCCTTGATACGCATCTTTTTGCAGCCTCGACATTTAGCATTTATTTTTCCAGCCAACAACCGAACAAATGGTGCAGGACGTGTTGAAATGATTTCCCCTCATTCTTTTATCTGAGCCGACAGCTTTGTCAGCTGGAGTTCAAAACATCGTGGCCTTCTGGGAGATCTGGTTCAACGCAGAGGGGCAGAAATTATCTCTGGGACGTGGAGCTATGGCAGTAGAGTGATAGAATCTCTTTTGCAAAGAGTGCCGTATGCTTAATTACAGCGAAAAAGTACCCATGATTTGATCTTACCTTTTACGGGCTATTTCATTGCCAGTTTCCTGCACCCTTCTCTCACTCCCTCACTCCTGATAAGCCAGCATGCGCACAACAGTAGGCCATTTATTTCCTCCAAAAGCCGTTTAGCACAAAGAGCATCTTTGTTCCTGCACTCGTAATAAAACAAAAGTGTCTCTGCTGAGATCATTTTACACAAACCAAAATGATGTCTGAATCAGCTCCTTTTCCTTTGATCATCGTGAATCGAAAAAAGAAAACCCACTGTGCAGTGTGCAGCAGTGTTGTAAGCAAACATATGGTTTGGCTTCCACAGGAGCTACTTCTTGATCTTACCATATCTTTTAGTGTGCCAGCTCTTCATTTGTGGCACCCAGCACTATGTGTGGAGGGCTGATCCAGCGGTGCAGTGGCCACCCAGAGCTCTGTGGATGGATGGCCTCTCTGGGCCTGTTTGACTGGAAACAGGTGTGTGTCATCTGAAGATGAAGGCCCGGCCGATAAACATTATTGGAGAACATCTGCTGCCTGTCACAACACAGGGCGAGCTGGAGTGGCCCCCTATCCATCAGCCACACCGGAGTGGGTGGGTGCGGGGGGCTCCATCGTCCTCTGCCGGGCCTGTTCGCCCATCACTCACCCCGGGGGATGCTGGATATGGGTTGCATGTTTGGTCCAGGCACCTGCCTGCCTCCACCAGACCAGAGCCGCCTTTAGCCAATAGAAGAGAAAATGCTCCAGTGGGCTTGAAAAATTCCTCTGGGATAGCACTCACTCTGACACTGAAACCCCCCCACACAAACACAGAAGAGCGGGCACATACACACACCTTACACCACCAGTGGAACCTGCTCAGGTGCCTCCAACACCCCCACTCGCTTTGGACTACTGTCAGAGAGGCAGGCATGGCCTTAACGCTTGACCCTTCTCTGGCTGATGAGAGAAGCCTGGTAGTAGCCTAGCACAAAAACACACACTGACATATCCACACACACAGGATCCCATAGCTCTTTATGACAGCTGGAACCTCTCTCCCCCTTCTCTACCTCCATACCTTACTGCTCCCTCCCACAGAAATCAATACTATGCAACACTGCATTCAAAACACACGATTAAACAAATTAATGGTTAAAAGCAGGTGTCCACAGATGTTTTTGTTGTTATTTATTTTTTTGGATTGTTTTTTTTTCTTTGTTTTTGTCATAACACAACCACAGATCATAAAGACACATGGGCGAAATAATGGAAAAGAGAATAGTAGAGTTTTTCATTTTTATACAAACAAAACGTATGTAGCACCACTGACATAGATATGCCAGAAAATGAGCACAGTAGGTTATGACTGATATAACTGGCACTGACCTGAGATATAATACAAAAACTGTTTTTGCAACAACAAAACAACATTTAAATGAAATGCACATGTATGGTAAATAATAGCAGTGGTGATATGGGATTTGTAATCTTATCTTCTTATATTATACGACCATAGAAATGTGTACAGGTGCTGCAGAAAAAAAAGTATTAACATCATTTTTTTTTTCAATTTCTATAAGACTCATAAAGTCTGTATCAGCTGCTGACTCAATAAACACAGATCTGAAAGAAGTGCAATGCGTGCAAGTTTTACCTGCAGTATTTCGCGACCAGCACACCACGCCGCCATAAGAAAACCCATGATCACGATGCCAATAAATGGAGAGTGTTCGTAATGCTGGTAAATAAAGCTGTCGGGTCATATTCAGATTCCATGAGCCATGTTGAAATAACTTATGGACAGACATTGTCTTCACAGACCTTTGTAAAAGGTAGGTGTATGGGAAATAAAATAAGTTAAGGTGAGTATGAGTCCCATAGCTGAAAAAAAATCTGGTTGGAGTAATCTGTAAACCAAAGCACCAATGATCTGAGTTGCATTCCTTTGGGAAATGATGTAGTTTCACAAAGAATACAGGGTAAATGTGAGAATTAAAAATGTAAAATTATAAGCAAGGGAATAAACACACATAAAAATATGTGAGTAATATGACAGGGAGCCATTTCAGTGTTTTGTGGGTTACTATGATGGAAGTGAACACTGTTTCAGTGTGTGTGCTTCATTTACGATAACACAACTGCATTTTAAACCTAAAATATGTGTATGTGGTTACAGGATATTTTCTGCAAAATATATTTTTAAAAAATCACTGATTAGATTTAGTTTGATTCCTTATATGTCAGTCACCCTCAACTCCAAAATGTGTTTTGCTTCTTGTTTTCTTACTTGGATGTGTGTCACTGTGCAGAATGATAAATGTGCAGAGTTTGACACAAGAAGGATGTTGTCACTTTCATCTGGTGAAGAGAGAACGTTTTCGAGTTTAAAACATATACAAGCAGAATTTTATAACATCACAACTAAAGGCAAACATGCTCCAGTATGCAACTGTGTGTGTTGTTGAAACATGAAACCTCCAGCGCAGATACACTTTCCAGTGAAGTATGAGACATCTTGTGACTAGTTTTGAAATTAAGCATCTTTGTTGATTCTGGATTTCTGGAGAAGGGGTATGACACAATGTAAAGTTATTTAACAAGATAACTGAACTTTTTGTGGTAAAAAAAACATCAGACATAAATGATCATTTTAAGCACAGTATTATATATTATATACAAATTTTATTATGAAACATCTCCTGATTTACCATTTATGGCTCTTCTACTGAACCATATTTGTGTGGCCCTCATGCCCGCAGTCCCTGTATGGACCTTTTCAAAATAAGCACATAAGTCACTCATATATTTCTAAATCTGTTTTAGAGGAATTTAATGTCCACCAGAAATATGCTTGGCATTCTGTTATGCTAACCATCAAGTTTTTTTGTGGACTAACAGAAAAAAATGAAATGTTGGTAGCAGCTGTAAAGGTTCTCCAGTGACAAGAAAGTCTCTGATTTAGTCACATCTTGTCCAAATGCCCTTAAGAAAGAAACTGAACCCTTACCAGTTCATTAAATGAATGCTTAATGAATGCTTTCAACAATCACACAAACACAACAATCACAATAATTAACAATTACAAACATCACAATGTGACGCAGATATTTGTGTGTATTGCTAAGAGGTCTGTGTAACCGTAGAAATTCTGGGGTAAAGGTTTAGAATTTATGGTCCTTTGAGGGCCCCTCACATGCCAAGTCCACTGGGTGATTATCGTGAGCTCCGGGCTCAGAGATGGAGTGCCAGTTTCTGACAGCTGAGTACCAGTTTCACAAAAACACAGCATTACAAACATCACCTTTACCGAGATGATCTGAGTAATGCCTCACAGAGCCAAGCCCTGTGTCTGAACATCCAGTCAGGAGTCTGCACCTCTGCTTGGGTTATGTGGCTTTGCTGCCTGCTCTTCTCTTTCTTTGGGACACAGAAAAGTTCAACGGTCCTGGGGTTTGGTGTAGCACTTCTGAAAAGAGAAAAGAAAAAAAGCCAGAAGACATCAGCACTATTTGAAAATCAAAAGCAAATGTGCTGTTTTTTTGGAGGAGAAGTAACTGGTACGTAGTCTCCCGTGTGCTCGGCTTTGAGGAGGTAAAACAAAGACAGCCTCAAGCCTGGCTCCATGCTGGGTGCAGATTAAAATAACTGTCAGGAGACAGGAGCAGCTATTGAGGGAGACAGGGTGACACACAGAGTGATGGGGCTCAGCCTCTCACACTTCATGACACAGTATTTCACTAAAGCTGGTTCAGCTTTACAGCCTGTGACCTTGTGTGTGTGTGCGTGTCCGTTTTGCTTTACCCTAGTCATATGTGTGTGTGTGTGTGTGTGTGTGTGTGTGTGTGTGTGTCCGTCTTGCTTTACCCTAGTCATATGTGTGTGTGTGTGTGTGTGTGGCAATGGGAGATTAGGTTTACCTTCGCCACAGGTGGGGCCCAGCCAGGTGAGCGGGCACAGGCATCTCCCATTCAGCCCATCACAGCGGGACCTGTGGGAACACTGGCACAGCAGGGAGCATCCAGGGCCAAAACGTTCTCCACCACAGTCTGACACAGAAAAGTTGGAGTGGAAGGGAAGAAGAAATTTAAAACATCCAACTTTTTTTCATTTAAACTATTTTTGATTTGTGTTAGTCCTGTTAATAAAAGTGTGGTTCCCCCAAGGTGATACAGAAACCTATATGTCTACCTTTGTCACACTTATGTCCTGTCCTTCCTGGGGGACATTGGCACTGTCCAGTTGATGGGTCACATGGGGCCTCACCAGCACAGTCACATGATTGTCCACAGTTCAATCCAAACCTGCCAGCTTCACACCCTTAAAATGAAAAAACACAGATACACACATTTGGTTGTATTGTTGCAGTTATGAGCACTTTCGTTGTCTGTGAGGTAGAACAAAGAAATGTCTAGCTTTTGAAATGGATGGTTGTATAAAAATATTTGACTAAAAAGGTTTATTTGGCTGATGTTTGGATCCTCCCCAAGACCAAAAATAGTGAAAATTTAGACAGTTATTGCAAACAATAAAACAAATACTTCAATAGCTTTTTCCATCTTTGAAATGTTCACACTTAAACTGATATTAATTATAGGCGGAAATTGAGTAGTAAATAAAAAATCCAACACAATGAGTAATGTAAATACAAAAGTTTAAATGTGTGGTGCACAGTACACAAACCAAGACAAAAACTATACATTTAATAAGGGTTGGGAGGGTTACTTTATAATTTGAATCCAAGTATCACAATATTAAAGTAATGTAACTTGATTACTTTCTGTTAGTTTTGGATTTCTCAACACCAATTGCACAAGAGACAAGAGCAAAGAAAAATATCAATAAAATGACTTTTACCTAGTGTATTCCATAAGACAATAGAACAATATGACCATAGAAGAAGAAAGATTTTTAGCATCAAAATCCTGTCCACTGCTCAGTGTATTTTTAAAGAAAAACTTGCTTTTCATAAATAAATTCAAACCATTTTCACAGCTGGAAGGCAGAACTTGCACTGTACACTGATGTTGTTCCTCTTTTCGGCTTTAATTATGGAATAATTAAAAATGTCAAATTTTTTTCACTACAGGCTGATATTGAATGGAGTGGTTATTGTTCACGTGTGTCCCATTGTATTCTGGTTGTTGTGCAATTTTTACCTTCTGTGCAAAAGGGAATACAACAGCATCTTTTTTTCCTCACATAGAACCAGTTTCTGAAATATTTGTGTTTCTACCCAGTTTTATGAAAAGACCATCATTTCAGTGGTGAAAATACCATGCAACCATGCTGTCATCCACATTCTGTTAGGGCAGTCTAGAAAGTTAGAGGTACAGAATTCAATGTATGGCAATCCAGCTGCAAAAACAAGGACATTTTGTCTGTTGTTCTGTTCTGCACTGTTTCTCTTTGCAGTACAAATGTGTTAGATCTTGCACTTCTTCAGCCTTTTCATACATGACTGGTTTGATGACTCCTTCCATCATCTTTTCACAGATTGTATTGATTGTGTTGTATTGATTGGAACAAACCTCTCTTTGTCTGTATGACATATGTGCATTAGGACTGAAACTGAGCCAAACATGCTGCAACTAGCACAATACAAGCATGTCAGTGTCATCACACTCAGTGATGATGTCTTGGTGAGGTGGACGGCATGTAGCGCTGTTTTGATGTCAATCTCTTCTTGATTACTCATCAGATCAGCCAGGCTTTCCATGCCATCCTTTGGTTTCTTCTGATTTCTTTTGGATCATCTGTTCCTCAGTGAGTCTACGTGTACCAGAGCTGGTTATGTAATTGCAGGCAAAAGTAAAAAGCCTGTCAAGTACCTCTTATAAAAACCAAAGCAATTTATTTTTACCCATGGCAGTGAAAAGACTGAGATAAGTGTGATGACACTGACTTGTGTCATGGTGGTTTTATTGCTTTTCTTTTATGCAAGTTGTAGCATGTCTGGCTCAGTTTTGGTCCGAATGCACGAAGGTCATACAAGCTGTGATATAACAAGCAGTTTTTCAAAAAAATAATTGCTTTTACAAAACTTCAGAAGCACTTGGAGGGGCTGCAAGTCACTTAACAACAAGTCTTGAGGACTCATTGCCTGCAGCCAGACATCACACACTCATTTTGCCAGAAGAAGAACGATAAAGGGGATCAGTTTACCAGTCTGGATGAGTTGAGGTATTTACTGGCACCCACCTGCATGTACTCAGAACCAGATATTCAGCTCGAGGGATGGATGTAAGTCTGCCTACGCAAACACATCTCTGAATAAAAGTTCACGCAATTATGCCATGGACAGCGCTTGCATTCAAGCAGAAAGTACACATATCAACCTCAGATTGTGAGATCATTAACTCATGCTGCCTGTTACAGCATTAGTCACCTTGACCTTGAGTCGGATTTGGTGCCATTTGGTCAACCACCAAATGCATGTGCTCTGGCTAACAGGAAGTGGACATGAGGTCAAAAGTTAAATGTGTGCTGCACCCATTAACAAGATCAGAGGAACAGATCATCATGTGTTTTAAACTAGAAAGAAATCTAATTATGAATTATAGTACTTACACTTAAAATATACAAAAATATAAATAAGCCACAGATAAGTACACCCAGTCCCAGTTTGGTGACATTCTGATATTTGTTTGCAGAAATATATGTAATAAGGAAGACACTGTAAATCTTCACCATTTTCGGTTTTGGGAAGGATCCGTCAAATAAACAAATTTAACAGTAAAACATTTTGATACAACCCTCCATTTCACAAACTAGACATATTAAAGTTATGAAAAAACATGGATGTACCCCACCAGGTAACGGTATCTTAAAACCAAATGCCTTTTTTAGATATTTGTTCCTCTAACTAGTTAATAGGTGAAACACAGATTATATAATATATAATTCACAAGTGCATTTAGTGTTAAGAAAAGAGCATTTTTCTCACGCAGACACACAGATAGAGCCAGGTCTATCTCTGGAGCCTCTGGCTGCCTTACAGCTGCTCTGTCATATCTCCTGCTGGGACCGAAGTGGCCATTTAGGCGCTCACACTGCGGCAGAGAGCCCCGCGAGCAGGCAGGAGGGCGCAGGGATGTAACAGGAATGCATTAAGCAGTCTGGAAACACCTGTCTTTCATCAAATAACCAGCCTGCTTCTCTGCCCACCTACCTACTAGCCTGTCTGTCTGCTTGCCAGAACACACTCATACACACCAACTTTTTATCTCTTATTCATGTATGCTCATATCTGCCCATGTCCCATTGCAGCTGGGCGTCGCAGGTGGCTGTTTATTAATGTGCACTAACTTGAGACTCACTATGCTTAATAGTGTTTCTGTCTTCATGCTGCTGCTTAACTGTAAGAATCTCTAAAACCTATAAAATGCTTGAAAGAAGAGATATGTATTCTCTTTAAAAGGATCTATAAAATCTGGTTCATTAAATCTTTTGTCTTTTTGATTTAAAATTTGATCATTTTTGCCCTTTTGGCAACACAACCAAAATGTTAACATGTAGTTTTATGGATTTCAGTTGATAATTAACCTTTAGATAGCGATATATACTCACGTCTTTGGCATTGTGGACCATAGTAGCCTGGTGGACACACACATCGGCCTGTCACATGGTCACATGTCTGCCCTACTTTACAGTCACATGTATGGGCACAGTTGACTCCAAAGAACCCAGATGGGCAACCTGGGAGACACATAAGACATTGAATTTAGATTGAGGTTACTTGTTTCAGGATTAGAATTCACTAGGAGAGTTTTACATTACCGTTAGAGAGGTCACAGTCTGGTAACGTCATCACCAAGTTTCTGTTTCTAATACAAATGAGTGTTTGCATACCGTGTTGACAGGAGGGGCCATAGTATCCAGCAGTACAGCTGCAGGTGCCGATAAAACGGTCGCAGGTCCCGTTGTTGAGGCATGAACAATCTTGTGCACAATCAAGCCCATATTTTCCCTGTAAACAGGCTGCACACACACACACACACACACACAGAGAGAGAGAAACACACACACACACAAACTTAGTTGTACATTTTCAGTTGAAACTGTATTTATGAAGAAAATGGGATGACAAGCAACATGATATGGCAACATTTGATAAAGCTGACACACTATCAACAACACAAACTCTACTATAATGGATGCTAATGTTGCTTGATTGCTTATTTTAACCATTCGTTAGCTTTAAAAAAACAGAAATAAGTGAGTCTGGAGACATTTCCTTAAAAGAAAACCTCAATTAAAGTGCACCATCTGATAGTAAACCAGGAAGTAAACAACTACATTGAATTCAGTTTTGTTGTTTGTTGTTTGATTTCCCATGACCAGCGTACCGTTTTGTTCAGTGTGATTGTTATCTGTTGTGTCTATTGCCTGTGAAGTTGTACCTGTGTCACAGTTGGGTCCAGTCCAGCCCAGTCCACATTTGCAAGTCCCGTCGACAGGATTGCACAGACCCCCATTCTGACAGCCGCATGTGTTTCTGCACTGCAGGCCGTAGCGCCCCCTAGGACACGCTGGAGAAACATTCAGAGAATATCAGGACAAGACAAGAACTCCAGGCCAAACGGTTGTACACATCGTGTGCTCTGTCCATCTATCTCTTTCACACACACACACACACACACACACACAAAAGATTGTACTAACCACATTCATGTTTATTTAAGCAGCAGTTCATTAAAGAGATGGCAAAGTAGTCTAATTTGGCACTGATATAAAAGAATAATCATGTTTCTCTGGGTAATTTAGGTTGGGAAAACAATAAGCAAGCCGTCTTTGATTTTCCTGTTTATTTATTTGCTTCCTTGCCAATTCCAGCGACACGGAACACAGAGAACGAGCTACTTATAGGTTTCTGTAAACATTCAACAAGAGGAACTTAAGAGGTGGTATGTCCAAGTACATGCAGGAGGCTAAAGAAGAGAACATTTAGCACAGGCAGTGATGGAAATCCCCGCTTGCAATCCAGCTGAATTGCTGATAAAGGGAGAGATTAGGAAAACCCGACTCTGCCTCTGTTTGCCGGGAAAACAGCCCTGTGATCATCAGAGGCCTCAAACTGAGGAAATGGAGAATTTGTTACTTAAATATACAATGAAAAATGTTGAAAAACACTCCCTCATTTTAGTGCTTATTTCTCACTTTCTAGTTAAGACCTATTTCTGAAGAACTCATTAGGGCCAGTGGTTGCCACTGATGCATGTCAGCCTCAGTGGTGACTCTTTGTATACTCTAGAGAAGGATAAAAGATAAAAGGCTCGATACAAACCATGTTTGATAAGTGTGATACCGTTTTGCTCAGAGTTTAACTTAGTAATTTAGTACAACAAGGGCTAGTGTGCATACTATTTACTGTATGGCAGCTGTAAACTCCACAATACTAAACCAAACTACAATTAATAGTAACAATATTTTTTGTACTTATATAAGATTATTCACACCGGCATAGCATCCTGGTATGTCATAGCTTCCCAACATGGGCTACATTAAACAATTAAAGACATCAGTTTAGCGTTACCTTGTTGGCAGGACTGTCCCATCCTACCAGGGGCACAGATACACCTCCCGGTTGCTGGGTGGCACTGACCTCCTTCCCCACAGGAGCACAGCTTAACACAGTCCTTCCCATAGTAGCCATTTGGACAACCTGTAGAAATAAAAACGTGTTCATTCACACAAAAAAAAAAATACAAGAAATTATGAAGATAAATATCTTCCTTTCATAGGCCTTGTGGGTTGCCTCAGTCGTGGTTGACCTGAATTTTCCAATACAACAAAGAGGCTGCAAAAACCAGCCTCACTGAAACAGTAACTCTGATAATAAAGGGGTGCAGAAAGACAGGACTCTTTTTCATTCTGGAGTACAAACAGGTGCAGAGTTTCCTGACTTACTTGAGCTGCAGTCAGCTCCAATATAACCAGGAGGACAGTAACAAGCCCCAGTCCTGAAGTCACAGCGACCACCGTTGATGCAGCTGCATCTAGACTTACAGTTTGGCCCAAAGGTTCCTGATCGACATCCTGGAGACAAACCATAGCAACGAGAAGAAAAGAGAATATAAAAAAGGTGGGCAAAGGCCGTTGTTGTTGTTTTAGGTTATTTTACTTGCAGGATACAGTGGACAGATTACCAGAACTATCAGTTTTGCTTTGTAAATCAAATAAAAGTAAATAACAGGTGAACAAAAATGCAATAATGTCCAGACTGGCTTTTATTTATGAATAATATTTTAATCTTTGTCTTAAATTTGCAACCCAACTTTAACTAAAGGCATATTAGTACGTCTCGTATTAGTCCACACAGAAAAATCAACTTCAACTACGTATACTTACGTAGCTCACAGCGTTCCCCGTAGTAACCAGGTAAGCAGCTGCATTTCCCCGTCACCGGGTGGCACTGCTCTTGGTCTCCTGAACATTGGCACAGCTGGCTGCAGTTTTGTCCGAACATGCCAGTAGGACAAGCTAAGATGATACATCCAGAAACACAGATCAGCCTTAACAGTAACAACACAAGGTGAAATAATTTTCCTAATTAAAATCGAACAAGAGAAGAGCACCTCTGTATCTGAATGGTTACAGTGCACGCCACATGGTTGCAATCATCACCAGTTTTATTCCAGCTGGTGACCTTACATGTCATATACTGCTCTCTACCCCATTTCCTCTCTGCCTCTTCACTGTTGCTGTCTAATGAAGGTAAAAAATGCCCCAAAACAAAATCAAGAAGACTATTATTTTTTGCTATGCTCGTCTGTACAGCTCAGCTGCTGTGTGCTGAGCTTTTTAAGGTTTTAGAATTTAAACCAATACAGACAATCAGTGTTTCTGGATACAGGTGTTACATTGGTAAAATTAAAAGGAACTCAAACTTCATAATGCACTTAAAATACAGCTTTCAGATTTTGTCTGTATCTGCAATACATTATCGCATATCAAAAATCAGTGAATGAATGCTCATAACAACTCCAACATGACATTAAGCCATTACATTGTACAGTTATGTGTAGTTGTGATGAAATTAAGACAAAACAAACAAAAACAGATTGGGCTTTAAACAAGCAACATTTTCAGTAGTTTGTGGGAACAAAGACAAATACCCTTTCCCTTTTCCTTCATCAGATTATTCTGTGAACATACTGGGACATTCAGCATTGACTGGCAACCAAACCAAAACTCCCAACAACTTTCCCTGGTGCCCAAACCCAGATGGACGCAGAGGGGCATTCTTTCACACACCCTCTCTGCATACATACATATACGCTCATCACAATAATGAATGGAGTCCACAGACAATCAGTCATAGCGAACAAGATGAATCTGTGAACCGAACATGTTTTCGGGTGAGACCGCAGCACTCAGCTACTCAGTCAGGCAGCAGCAGGCAGCGTGGGGGACAGATAAGAAAGGACTCCAGACTAAAGAGGCAATTACGGCGCTGTCATTATGCATGTCTGCCTTCCAAAGGCCCTTATCCGCCACCGAGGAGACAAAAACAATGCCTTCTGTTTTACTTGGCAACTGGTGTGTAACATTTATCAGATGTCTGGGGAGTGTGTGAGGAGAGGAAGGGAGCTGAGGTGGTGAGAGGGAGGTGTAGAAGGAGTGGTGAAGGGCTGAGTAGAGAAGCTGCTCATATACAGTCCTAAAGGGTCTAAATAATGAAACATTAGCATAAAGTCCTGTGACAGTGAGGGTTTAGTGCCGCTGTAGAGTGCATTTCCTGGAATAGAATAAATGGTAATCTTTCCCTGGAGGACAAGGAAAAAAGAAATTTTAATCAGTATTAACAGAATGATTCTTGGAGATCACTTCACTCCCATGATGCCTTTTGGGGGGTGACAGTGTTTCTATCAACAAGGCACATATGTTAGCCAAATGGTTTTTAATGCATTGTGCAACAGTGATATTAGCCATGTGCCAATAACCATTATTCATAAGGGGCATCTACATTTCCAACATTTAGTTATTACCTAACTGTTAAAACACAAACCTCACAAGGGAAAATCTTTATATTTGTGCAGTAAAGTTTTATTTTTCCAAGATGGTCTTTCTTTTCATTCTTACGTTTCTCGCAGCCAGGTCCTGCAAGTCCAGCTGGGCACCCGCAACTCCCCGTCTCATGGTGACAGGACACCCCAGCCTGGCACTGACACCGCTGGGCACAGGAAGGACCGTAGGACCCCGGAAGGCAGGCTGGAGTTGACGTACACATGCATAGTCACTTTACTCTCATGTTCAAAGGTCCTCTATTGCCAGTTTCATTCCGTTGCAATTTCCACGGTCCTATTACACACTCACGTTTGTCACACCTGGCTCCCCTCCAGCCTGGCATACACTCACAGCGGCCCGTCACATGGTGGCAACTCGCACTATGGACACAGTCACAACTCCGCTCACAGCCCTCTCCAAAGAATCCCTTAGAACAGGCTTCAGACAAAACACACAAACGTTTGCGTACAGCACACAACATTAGTCTGAGAACAAAACCTTTTTAAAATGTTCCCTTTTTCAGTACTTGTTTACTCTAGCATAATTGCACATTGTTTGTTTTGCACAATTGTTTTGACACAGTAAGTTTTATCATTCCAGAAGTAAGTAAACCTTCACTTCTTTTTTGCTGCGGTTACACAGAAGTGTTTGCAAATGCAGCACAAAACGGTGAGAGAAATGTTTTTTTAAGACACAAAATCAGGCACTAGAAAGAGCACAGCTGGATGTCAGGGTGGCTGTTTATATATATATATATATCACTGGGAAAGGTGAATAACAGATTACAGATAATATGTCTGAACTATGCCAATCAAAAGCTGAAAAATGCTAAATAAGACTAACATGCTGCCATGCAACAGTGCTGATGTGATGCTTAGTAAGTTACCTGACTGACAGAGCTCTCCTATCCAACCAGGCAGACACACACATCTCCCTGACACTCGGTCACATCTCCCGCCATTCGTGCAGCTGCAGGCCTGGGTGCAGTTCTCTCCAAAACGTCCTCTCTCACACTCTAGGAGGGAAGGAAAGATGAACGGTACATTCAAGAAATTATTCACCTCATTAATACAGAAGGGTTTTCCTCAGACATTGAGTTGGGAAGGCAGGGACAGGTGGGCAAAATGTTAAATCAAGAAAAGTACATTTAAGAGTCACATGTGTCACCCTTTCACTGTAACACATGGTACTTCATGACTCACCTAACTCACAGGCAGCTCCAGTCCAGCCGGGCGGGCAAGAGCATTGACCAGTCACACTATCACAAGAGCCTCCGTTCTGACACAGGCACTGGATAGAACAGTGTTCCCCATATTGTCCTGCAGGACAGGCTGAACTCACACACACACACACACACACACACACACACAACATAGTACAGTAGAGAGAGTTAATCATCTGAATGGGTTTTAAGATTATACAAAAGGCTAGCAGTGATGAAAATACTAAGATTATATCTATCAATGTGACATTGATTATTATATAATGTTGATTAGAATCCATCCAGCAGAATGTCTATCTGATCATGACTATTAATCACTTACTACCATTATGTGTCAGGGTATGGGTTTGCACACCTGACTGCTCTTAGAACAGGTGAAAGCCACCCACACACACTATTAACTTCATGTATATTTATTATTTGATATTTTCATTGAGAAACAAATGTAAGTAAACCTCTAGCTGCAATTCTCATTAACATGTTGATTCCTGAGCGGTGTGTATTTGCAATTTCATGTGCATATTTTCATACCTATGCATTTTTATACCCATTTATGTGCTAGTGTTTTTCGCATGTGTAACAAAAACATAACAATTTAGATATTCTGGGTGATTATACACTAATGAAAACAAACGTATGAATATTTCTTCCATTTCTGCCAACAGATCATCCTAAATGTTACACACTGTTCCTTTAACAGCAGACAAGATACATCCACTCCACCATTCCCAAGACAAAACAGCATAGTTTGTAAAATGGATAGTACTGCTGTCAAGTCATTTGTATTAAATGAGCTAAAACCCACTGCTATTGTCTTTTAAGTAAATAGCAAGAAACGGTTTGACAGGGTTTGTCATGCTGAGTGATGAGCTACTCACGCAGTTGGCAGCGGACTCCAGTCCATCCGGCCGTGCAGCTGCATCGCCCGGTGACGTGGTCACACCTGGCTCCGTTCTGACACTCACAGGTCTCACTGCACTGCTCCCCAAAATGACCCTCTGGGCATTCTACCCACACACACAACACACACACACACACAGGATAACATAATACACACACAAAATTAACTTAAATGCAACTGCAGCTGTATTTGCAGCAAATGTATGAGACTAGAGGGCTAAAGGACATTTTGAGACATTATGGTTTTCAGCACACAGATTGTAAACTTCTCCTTAATGATCAAAGTCCAAGATGACATTTGGAGTCTAAGAAGGAGGAAAATGCGCTAATGATAGAGATGCATCATTAAGTCATGCTAGTGGCTTTCTGCTGACTCTGGCTCTGGTAGTTAGGACCACAAAATGGCTGTGGCAAGAGGAAAGTCTTGAATAAGCCTACAGAATGACAGACTAAGAACTTTAGTGGGCATTTCACTGGATCCATTAAAACAACGGCATGAAATCCTCAAGAAACTTTAGCATGAGAACACTGATTGGTTTGCTACTAAAGAGTCTTCCGAGTTATGTTCTCCCTCTCCTAATGTTGATCGCTATAAACACGTGGGTGCATTTATCCAGAATAGACCTCAATTAAACCGTGTATGCTCGAGGGCAGTCTTGTCCTCCCTCCTTTCTCCACCCTTACCCATCCCTAAAAAAAGTCATTGGCAATGTCTCATTATAGAGATAATTGTTCACAAACACATCGTAGTTGTGTTTAAGGAGAGGATGTCGTGATGGGCTGCAGTGAGGGCCTCCCTCACACCCCGTTTTAATGATGTGGCTTCCATTACCCAGAATGCAGTGTGGTCCTGCCCAGCCGGCGGTGCATAGGCAGGCTCCTGTGATGTGGTGGCAGCGGGCACCGTTCCTGCACTCGCACATCTGGCCACAGTCAAGACCGTAAAAGCCGTCCGGGCACACTGTGGGCCAAGATAAAACATCCGACTGGTTAGAACTGGCAGCTTCATAAAAAAAGAAGAGGAAAAGGGTTAGATGCCAACTTCTTCTTCTTTTTTTTAGTTCTTTCTCTTCCCTTCCCCATCTCTCACTCTCTTCTCCTCCTCCTACTTTCCCTCTCTGTCTTACCACCTACTGAAAATACCAATATCAAATTGCAGTACCATGCTGTGGCTGTTCATTTGCAGAGGGTCTGCGTTCGTTAAGCAAGCTCATGTCCCACATGTGTGGTGGATCTGGGCCACATCAAAGTCGACGGCGGCTCAGAGGCTGTTCCCTTTTTTGGGGGTTTGAGGGGGCACAGAGAGCTGGTAATTAGAGCACCTGCTGAGTCCACAGGCCTCACCAATACACAGCAAAACAAAGCCAGGTTACTGTGTCCCTCCAACACACACATACCTACAGTATCGCCGCTGCTGATGCAAGGAGATGCCAGTGTAAGTCTGTTTCCCATTCTCAAGGAGAGGCAGTGAGATTGTTTAAGTGTGTGTAGAGTCAATTGACACTCAGAGAGTTTGGTAAACATAGTGCCTCCCATCCACCAAGAACCTAGCCAGAGGCCGCCGGATGAATGAGCCTTTCCACTACTGGCATGTAAATATTGTCTGTAAGCATGACTTCACCAGAGCAGGAAAGAATGACTCTGTTTATTCACAGCCTATTTTTGATCGCTCAATTTGTCAAGAGATCATATCCTAACTCAAGCATCATGGCTGTATTTTGCAAAACAAAAAAAAAATCTTCCATTCTGGTCTTTATTTATTTTTGTGCAGCCAAGGTTTTAGTGATTGACAGCCATTTGCAGATATGTCTCTCTTCGAGTACCCTCTCCTGTTTTCTGTTGCAGTAATATTTGAGAAAATCTGAGCCTAGCGAGGGTTTGGGTAGATTCTGTCCCAATTATCTCAGCAGCCAGCAGCTTTTCATTCCATTTATATACTACCTCCTCTATCTATAAGAAAAGCAGTGGACCGTGTTACCAAAGGAAGCCACAAATAGGGAGGGCAGGAGAAAAGTGTAACTTGGTGGTTTTATGTATATCTAAATACCACAGTACTCAGGGTGTTTCCCTACAGTTTATGCATCATACCCTCCTTTTCCTGCTCCAATTGATGATGCTGTCCACTCCTTCTTCTGCCCCAAGGCCTCAAATTGGGAGAAGTATCTTTTCTGCTCAGCAGTTTCTGGCATGGTCAACGCTGTGTTCCCACGCTGACAGCATGACGTCTTTGCTTGCCTCTGTTGTGGTTAGGCTGCGATGCCATTAAAGTCAACCCACTGACGATGTTGTCATTTTAACCCAGCTGTACATTAGGTCTGTGGTTGTACTGTAGCAAAATCACTGGTTTATTGTCTGCTGTTTATTATTATGATAGCAATGGCTGACACCATGGCAACAATCTTTCTGTTCTGCGGGAAAATGTTTAGGGGATGTTACTCCTATATATCATTTATTTACCAATGAGAAAGCGTCTCAACGCATCTGTGACGTTAAAAAATAAACATCTCAGATGAGTGATGCTCCCTTTTAATGAGGTCTTTATACCAGACTCAGTAATCACCTAAACATGTTTAAACACTTTGCTTCCTTTTCAAGTACAGCAGACACAGTTTACTGCAGCACACACACTCTACGTTAAATCTTCAGGGGACATACTGACACTTCTGTTTATTGATCGTTTATGCCAGCAGGGGGCGACTGGTTTCCATATAAACCACAGAGCAGCAATCTGTCATCTGGTATTAGCACAGTGTCTGCATGTGTTTGTAAGTGAAGACTCATCCCTCTGTGTCTTTGTTTATAGGTAGGCACAGAGGATTCAGTTCACCACACACACACACACACACCCACACACACAGATACACAAACACACACACTGTTCCAACGCTGAAAGACTCCATCTCTAGACTAAATGAGCTCTTTAAGACAGGAGGATTATTTCCAGATCCCTGGTTGTGTAAGAGCCACTGCTGTCAGCCCATAAAGCAGGTCCAGGGACCACACAGCCGGGGAGAGCAGACCACAGAAATAGAGCGGATAGAGAGAACATAGAAAAGAACTTCCTGGTGCCATTCAGGGTCTATACACTGAAAGAGGTCAACACAACAACAATAAAACAATCCAGCTTCTTCGACAATAACGCGGATGTTCGATGCCAGTTGAACCAGAGTTCTTTTTACTGCGACCAAACAAACTATTTTGATGCAAACATCAAAGCTGCACACCAGAAACAGAGCTCCATCCACGTTAATTGAAGAAGTGGTCTAGTGTGCGGGACCCATGTCAGCACAATAGCTTGTTTCCTCTGACAAAACTTCACTGAAATGTTTAGCATCAACCTCAGGGCCACAAGAATGCTCAATGAAACTATGCATTTGCCATAGTAACAAGCTCTTGAGTCTTGTAGAAAGCAATTATTCCCATGAATAACGTCGCCCACGTAGAATCAAACACAGAAGAAAAGTCATCTCTTTCCATTTTAATTCTGTGGAACAGACGAACTGGAGAGATCTGGTCCTTCTCACAGCCCAGGCCTCTTCCTGATTTCTCCTGAAGGAAGAGGCCCAGCAGAAGACTGAGAAACTGGACACCTCTGTTTGAGGAGAAAAGGCCTTCAGAAAACAGAATCTGGTCAGACCGATAGCCCTATTTCCACAGCAACGTCCAATCAGAGTGACGTGTGCGTCTGAGGCCATTAGACTGTTATGACTGGGGATGTGAAGCTCTGTTCTAATGTGACATGGCCATGATTTACAATGCACCGTGCACTATGGAGGTGGTATGAATTTCTGGGCCTGGTAGTACACTTACACTAAATCTTACACTTTGCAATAACACGGGGCCACTTCAAGTCAAAAGACTATAATCAAGAACAAATCTATTACGTTGTTAAGACTGTTGGACTGTTGGTACGTCTTTCAGTTCAGTAAAAATATCCCAATGATGAGAAGAATATTTGTTACATGAAGGGTTTGCTATGGCAGGATGCTTAAAAAGACTGCAGGCTATGAATTACAGTCCATCTATCCCAGAATGACTAATACAAATTATATCTTGGGATTTGTGTGGTTTTAAAGTGGTTTGCTTATGACATTACTTGGACAATCTGATGATTCATTGAATCTGTGTGATGATTCACTGAAACGCGTAAGAGGTGAGAAATTCAGAAGAATATCCTGCAGCGCCCTCTAGTGTATTCACAGTTAAAGACTACTAATGTCTCTCACAACAGAGAGGAAGCTTTTAGACAAATGGGCGATCGCATTTGTCCCACGTCATTTAAAGCTCAACAAGGTCAGCGTGGATAGTTTAACAAACAATCGGAGAATAAAATGTAAGTGCCTCCGAATATAGTATTTAAATCTTTCACTGTAAAATTTTAAATGTAATTGAATTCAGGGATTAAAATGTTGTCAACAATCCAATTTCACTATTAATAATATTAAATATAAAATGCAACTAATTATGATTATTTTATTATTATTTTTCTGGATTAATAGAGTAATGAAAAAAGGCAGATAATAGTAAAAAATAATTCACATAAGCATAGATGAGAAGTTTGATGATAGACTGCATGTTCCAAACCCAAAGACATTCAGTTTACTTCCTCATACGGCAAAACAAGCAGCAAATCCTCACAATTGAGAGGCTGGAGTGTATTGTTTGAGTAGGTACGTGTGTGTTGGACGGGAGGACAGGTGGAGGGAGGGTTCTGTACTAGTGAGTAATTATCTTGGATTACCTGTGTGCTCAGCTTTAAGAAAAAATAAGCATAACCATATTCCTATGATTTAAAGTGAAAGAAGGGAAACCGAATTTCACATTTTAGTCAAAGGAGCACAAGCCTTTTAAAATATAACCTCATGTACATTAATATTAATTATTATATAATTATATAATTATATATTATATATAATTAATTTTGTTATTCTTACAAGTCCCAACTGCCAAGTGGACCTTAAATTAATCTTGTAAATTGCTAAAAACCATTTAATACCATTTCAGTTAAAATTACTCCAAAAATAACAGATAAGTTCGGGGAAAAAAAACACTTTTCTCTCAAAACAGTCACTAATCAGAAAAAAGAAAATCTTACTTTTTTCACAGTACGTGCCAGCATATCCAGGAGAGCATGTGCAGGCTCCGCTCACATGGTCACAGAGGGCTCCATTCTGACACTGGCACTGCTGGGCGCATTCCTGCCCATAGCTGCCATTCACACACTCTAACAGTGAACATATGAGGAAGACAGACCAAGAGTGATTTAACAAAACAACAAAAACTATTTCAGTTTCACTGACTGACTGTTTCACACACTATCTTGTGCTGTGCAATGCTTGGTACTAAATTAGTTCCTGAAGATAAATCCCAGAACTGTAGGAAAAAATGCAAAACTCACTGAAATAAAACACATGCTATAATATGCTACAAAATATCCAGGAAACGACACCTCCAGTCTTGTATATGAGCGCAAAATATGTTATGAGTGACAATCGCCCCTAGGTGGCAGTGTTCACTAAAATATATCTTTTGAAACTATGATATTTAAGAAGTAAACTTACTCTTTTCACAGTGGTCTCCAGTGAAGCCAGCCTCGCACATGCACTGACCAGTGACTGGGTCACAGCCCACAGACACCTCTTTGCACTGGCATTTACTGAGGCACTGTTGCCCCCAGTAACCAGATTCACATGCTGTGAAGGTCGGAAAATATTGGAGTGAAAGTTAAGCACAAACTTTTAATACATTCACTGTTTTACTGTCATGTTGTTGTCTGCCACTCTAACACTGTAATTTCTTGAAACTTAAACTGAAATGAAGTACAGTATTATGATTTTTGTAAGGATAATTACAGTTCTTACATGTTGCACAGTCGTGCCCTCTTTTGCCAGGAGGGCAGATACAGTGTCCAGTCTGTGGGTCACAAGTAGCATCAGGGTGGCATGTACAGCGCATTAAACAGCCCGGCCCATGGAAACCTGCGGGACACTCTGTACACAAGGTAACATTCATAGGATCATGCTTTAGTAATCCACTCTTTTTGACTGGAACTGAAAAATCTCAAATCAGATCATAGCAATTGCAAAATCTCCATTCACTTAATTGTTCAGCTGTTTTTGTTTGGGATGTACAGATTTGAATTAAAGGTCAAAAAGACAACAACATCACATCAAAATGGTTTCTTGACTCTAAATTAGATTAAAACTCACCATTTTGGCAGAGGTTGCCCATGAAGCCTGGTTTGCAGTCACACACGCCAGTCTGCTTGTTGCAGGAGCCTCTGTTCTCACAGTTAGGACAATATGACTGGCACTTCACCCCCCAGAATCCATCTGGGCAGTCTGAGGAGCATCACATATCTTTCAGATTAAGTGAGCAGTAAGCCACTTATGTCAGTTATTTCTCTATAAAGCCCTAAAGCTGCTTATTTTAGGGAAAAATGTGTTAAATGAAAAATAAGCTGTAAAGCAAAGGGCAGCTTTCTAACTGGTTTGGTTTAGCGAGGCACCAAAGAACACAAACATCCTGGTGGTTCATTGGGCTAAAGATAATACTGCAGGCTCACAGTGTCAGTGAGTTCAAACAGGTCCTCAATCTGTATCACATGTCATCCCATTTTCTATTTCTACCAAAACATCATTAGGCTAAAATGACCTAAAACTAATATCAAAAATTAGTGGAACATGAACACCATCCAAAATAAATGCACCTTCATGACAGGAGCGTCCTGTCTTCCCAGCAGGACAAATGCACTGTCCGGTTACGGGGTCACAAGGAGCTCGTCCACAGTCACAGCTCAGACGACAGCTCTCGCCGTAGCTCAATGATTGGCACGCTAGCAACACAGAAGATTAAAACATTAAAACAGAGACAGATACAACACAACAGTCACAGTGCACATGCACACAAACACAAGCCAGGGTTGTGCAATATTGCATAAATGGGCTGAGAAAGAAAAAATAATAATTTTCTGTTTATTTATTCAGCTTCTGCCAATAGCTTCTACAGGAGTAACTGAAGTAAATTACCCCTGTCATGACCTGGCCTGCAACTTACTTACTTACAATCCAGAAATTGTGGATACGTTTTTCCTTTTTTTGTTTTGGCTTTGACAAACCCAGCAAGCCAAGGCCTGGACTGCGCATTAGTGCTGACATACTGTAACTCTGCTCTGTTATCTTAGTCCACTCCACACAAACACAAAGTCATGTTTTTACCAGAGGCTTCTGAACAATATTCAGTATCACTTTAGCTCACAACACAGAAGGTTGAACTTTCAATCAACCGGCAGAGTAAACAGCCAGGGGACACCCTGCTGTGGAGGAACGCTCATAGTTTCAGTTGTTCAGTTTGTACTTAGAAGAACACCTGCACTGACCAGGTGAATTCAAGAGAAAGCCTTATTTATTTCACCTAGTAAATCCACTCAATCCATCAAAGGTAGCAGAGAATGAATGGAAAAGGACAGAATAAAGAAAGATTTACAGGCAAATTGAAAAAGGTTGCGACAGAGGTTGAGAAATTCAGAAACTCATTCATAACAATTTGTGTTGCCATCAGAAAGGGCACACATTTGGCAAGCATGAAGTATGCAAACAATATCCACACATGTAGACACATGTGTCTGTATTCAAGCCCACGCACTTCACATATTTACACACATGCTCACAGTCAGTGTATCCACAGTGATACTTTACTATAAAGGTTATGGCCACATGAGGGCGCTGTTGAGTCAAGGTTCGATGGGGACATCCCACATCATCAGTTCTGTGTTTTAAATCATTGAAAGTAAAAGAAAAAATCGAATGGATGCATGCCAGATGTTTGAAGGAAACTCTAAAACAAAGATTACACCTGAATTAAAGTGCTCCTTATGCTTACATTCATTTTTAGAAGTATTTTCAGTACACGTTTACAGTTGAACAATGTAAAGCACTTTATTGTCTCACCCAGCTGACATTTATCTCCATGAAGGCCTGCAGGACATTTCTGGCTGCACTCTCCAGTCCTGGGGTCACATGACCCTCCACCTGGACAGTCACATGGCTGCTCACAGCCTGCACCAAAGAAGCCAAGCTGACACTCTACATTGGGACATATACACACACAGCAAAGGGGGAAGATTAACAATCTCAAAACACACTTGCAAACATTTTGTGAAACTACGTAGCATAGACAGGTTATTAAGATCTTAACCAGTGATCGACTTAATTCTGTGATCACTGTAGGCTGGTCTCTAAGAACAATCACAGCAACTTCTTCAACTGCTTTTTCATTGTACATGTTTATATCAAAACTGCACTGCAAGGAAACAGCAGGCTCCAAGTGTATTTCCCACAGAGCAACTGAAATTATTGGCACCATAGTCCTTTTACTGCACCAGGAAATAAACTTGGATCTATATGAAGCTGTGAAATAGTCAATACAGTCATATATCCACAAATCAACTTGTGGCTGAGAAGTGCAAGTTAGGCGGTAGACCTGAAAAGCACGGATCCTAACCAAAATTCCTTGCATGCCGAAGCTGTCGGTGAAGAAATTAGTTGGTGTAGTTTTAGTGCTTATACCTTTCTCACACTGTGGGCCGTGGTATGCAGCCTTACAGAAACATCTCCCTGTTTTGGGGTCACAGCCAGTGGAATGTTCTTGAACACAGTCACATTCCTTGGAACAGCCTGCACCGTGCGTCCACCTGGGACAAGCTGAGGGCCGGACGAGATCATTTTAAAAGAGACAAAAAAAGGATAAGTTAGGTTGATGTAGAGCGATGAATGGTTTCAACATGTTTGCATGTTTGTATCATGTAAAACCAAAAAAATACAGAATTACACTTACATTCATATGAAGAGCAAGCTGCCTACAGTATTACTGCACTAAAACAACTTTAGATGAGTCTTTTTTTTTAAGGTTGAACAAAGAAAACAAATTCTTCCAGCAATTTATGTTTGTTAAAATTAAGGTGGTCATGGTTAATTGAGAAAAAACATTGAAATTAAACCTTCTGCGCTATCATATTACATTTTTGTATGAGCCAAACGAACACACCCAACGACCATATTATCACAACATCTGCCATCTGCAAGTTTAAGTCATGTGACCACTGCTTCCAGATTCACTCAATTTATATAAAATGATGGTGCATCATTCATCCTTACTACTGTATAATTATGAATCTAATTTGAGATAAGGCTGACAATTTGGGCAAACAATTTCCTGCAAAGTTTGTTGTGTTGTCAGTAGCCATCTGCAAACTTTATCACATTAACAGAAACACTGAACAAACATATGTGTATGTGAGACTTTTAAAACTGAAGCACTGCCACATCTCCACTCAAATGTTTAGCACAATCAATCTGCATGTATTTTGCCAAGATTGTCCCTACTCAGCAACAAAAACTCCACTCCACCCTGTCCCTCTCGGCGCTGGCTTTATGTTAGGTGCAGCTGCAGGCTCTGGTTACACCCTCTCCACCCTCTAAATGTCCCGCTGCAGGATGAAGCAGACAGCTGTGAGAATCTGATAATATTCCTTGTGCACATTCTTCCATCATTCAGCTTGGTCTTAGAAGAGTGAGCCTCTTCCACGCTGAGAAAGTAAGAGCAGAAATCCACCATGTCCATCCGCAGGCTTAGGAGCAACCCTAAAACACTCGGGGATGTCAAAATGGTGACTGGGGAGCTGAGGAATCTTTATTATAAGAGGCTGCTGCCGATAGAGAAGTACTACTCTTTCCATCACTTTCATTCTCCGAGCTATGAGGATGCAGACTTCGACAACAAACCAATGGTCTTGGTGATGGGTCAGTACTCAACAGGAAAAACAACTTTTATCAGGTAAGGATCAAAACTTTTTAAAACCTCAGATTTGTGCATGTATTCTGCTGAATGTATTGCACCAGTATGTTGGGGGTAATAATGTTGGTGGTATGGTATTGCTTGGCTTCAGGTATCTCATAGAACAAGATTTTCCTGGCAGCAGAGTTGGACCAGAGCCAACCACTGACTGCTTCACTGCCCTCATGTATGGAGAGGTGGAAGGAATCATTCCAGGCAATGCTCTCACAGTCGATCCGAAAAAGCCCTTTCGCAACCTTGACCCTTTTGGAAATGCTTTTCTGAACAGGTGAGAAGATACAACAGACAGAGAGAAAGAGATGAAGGAAGAAAGAGAGAGTGAAAGAAAAGGGAAATAATGATTGTGTTGGAGTTGTTTTTTCCTCCTCTTTTTTATCATTTATCATTTTTATTTCTTTTACTTTTTTCCAATGTTCTGCCTTCAATATCATAAAAGTACTGAAACAAAACATGTAGTGTTACTTCAAATTTATGAGAAATAGCAAAGAGATTATTTTGAATGCTTTTTGGTGACACTTTGTTTTCTTTGCAGGTTTCAGTGCGTTCAGATGCCAAATAAAGTCCTTGAGAGTGTCAGCATTATTGACACGCCTGGCATCTTAACTGCTGCTAAAAGAAAACTGAGTCGAGGTGAGACAGAGTACCTTTCTAAGGTCCTTTTCGATGTCAGGAAGAATTAATGGGTCTTTACTTTCAGTTTTTTAGACAGGGTTGAAAACGTTGTCACTGTCAGAAGGATTTACATTCCTGCTAAGAGAAGAGTCATAGTAGCTGCATTTCAGCCCAACACAATTCAAACAAGTCAGAAGCACAGCAGATGAAAGTAATATCACAGTGAGTTGGGAGGAGACGAGCAGAAAGTAACTAAGCAGTCCTTGCTTTGTTTTATGGACGCATTAATCTATGGGTGTAACTGAAATGGCTTGAAACCAGTGAGGGCCACTGGGATACTTTATATGTTCCTCCACTTCTTGAGGCAGTGGGACTTGCCCCATTACATACAGTGTTAATGAAAACCCTGTGTTTTCGTTCCTTATCCCCAGGCTATGACTTCCCAGCAGTGCTGCGCTGGTTCGCAGAGCGTGTGGATCGAATCATCCTGCTGTTTGATGCACATAAACTAGAGTTCTCTGATGAGCTCACTCGAGCCTTTGGGGCTCTGTGTGGCCATGAGGACAAGTTGCGTGTGGTTCTCAACAAAGCTGACAGGGTGGACTCGCAACAGCTCATGAGAGTTTATGGTGCCCTCATGTGGTCGCTGGGGAAAGTGTTTCGAACCCCCGAGATCTTGAGGGTTTACATCGGATCTTTCTGGTCAGAGCCGAGGCAGATGTGTGACCATTACCAGCTGATAGAGATGGAGGAGGAGGATCTGTTGGCTGACATAAGGAACCTGCCGCGCAATGCTGCAGTACGCAAACTGAATGACCTGGTGAAGAGGGCACGCTTAGTAAGGGTGAGAGATTTTATATATTCAATTCCAACAGGTAAATATTTACAAACCCTAATGCAGTTATGGTGATTTTAGGTTTCATTTGTGCTTTATCCCCTCCTAGGCTCACGCCCACATTATCAGCTACCTGAAGCAAGAGATGCCAACAATCTTTTGCAAAGAAAGCAAGAAGCACAATCTGATTTACCAGCTTCCTGTCATTTTCACCAAGATCCAGCAACAGCATCGAGTCCCAGCCGGCGACTTCCCTGACTGCACCAAGATGCAGGTCAAACATTACTTTTTAATTGCTGTCTAAATACCATATATACAGAAATATAAAATGTATTTACCTAAATGTGCTCTGTGAGCCTTACATGTGATTGCATATATTTTCAGGAGAAACTTTTGGGACAAGATTTCTCAAAGTTCAAGACACTGAAACCAAGTCTAATGGCTTCCTTGGATAAACTCCTGACTACTGACATAGCAAACCTGGTGCCTTTACTTCAACAACAAGAACTGAGGAAGAAATCTCTCCATGGTGTGTTGGACGGTGACTTTTTGGGGACATTCAGGCCCGAACATTACAGGAGAGACCCTTTCAAAGAACCCTCCAGAGACGACGAGAGCAGTGAGGCAGATTTCGATGAGTGGGCAGTGGAGAAATTCAAGCCAAAATACGATGAGATTTTCTACAACCTCAGTCCAAATGAGGGCAAACTGAGTGGCACCAAAGTCAGAGAGTGGATGACAACCACCCTTCTGCCCAACTCTGTGCTTGCTCACATCTGGAGGCTGTCTGATGTAGATGGGGATGGCATGCTTGACAATGAGGAGTTTGCTTTGGCAGTCCACCTTATTGAGGGAAAACTGGAGGGTCACTGGCTCCCCCGAGAGCTGCCGTCTCACCTGGTACCACCATCAAAACGGCTAAGTACAGCCAGCGTTGAAGAGTAGACATGACATTGAGAGGAAGCTGAGGCTCTATGTACATTATTTGTACAATTTGTAAATCATTTCTTAAATGTAACCTAATCTGGTAGTAGCAGTCTGGTAGTAAACTAACCAAGTGTACAGTGCCTGTCCATTTGTATGTTAATCATCGTGACACCAAAATTGAAAGATTCCCATTGATGGTTTTGATCACTGCACATTTTTCATATCATATGTATCATATCATATTTTTACCTCACATATCCGTGGGAATAAGAAAAATATCATCATCAGAACTTATCTTCAGTTTGGTATATTCATTTTTCTTTATACAATATAAGTAATATTTCACTTTACCATAATGTATTTTTATCAATGGCATTAAACTTGTAAAGATGACCAGACAGTATTATTTAATTGTTTGCGATAGTATCATCATCACCACCATTATGCAATGGGTATTATGATAAGGTCAGGTTGGTACTCACGCAGGTGGCAGAAACGGCCATAAAGTCCTGGAGAGCACAGGCAGCCTCCATACAGACGATGGCAATGTCCATTGTTGGGACAGTTGCACTTTCTTTTGCAGTGCCTCCCGAAAAAACCCCTTGGACAACCTGTAAACATGAATACTTCAGGATAGGATGCCCACTTACGTCAAAATAAGCTCCACTGTGATAAGAGCCAACATTTAAACAAGGTTACAATTAAATAAATAAAAAAATAGGATACAGTGCTCATCTCAAATTGTAAGGCAACATCTGTGGCAGTGTTGACATGAGATGACACATTCAGCACACTGAAGGCTAATGTGGAGCAGTGGTTCCCAACCTGGGGATCAGGACCCAAAAAAGGGGTCACAAGATTAATATAGTGGGTCACATGATGATTGCCCAGGTGACAAATAAGATAATACATAATTGACCTTTCTTAATGTTTTTGGCTTCCCTCTTGTGAAATATTGTGGCTTTATCCTATCGGATAAAAATGAACCTCTGAATATTTTCAGAGGTTCAAGTTCAAATTAAAGAGTTTTTTAAGGATAACATTTATTGTTCCACTGAACTGCCCGCAACTTGCAGACATACAACCTATGACAGACTCATCAGGAGATACTGTATTATATTAAGGGGTCACAAGGACAAAATGTTTGGAAGCAGGGAATAGGAGCCTGGTTGTTGTATTCACATCTGTGTGTGTACTGTGTGTGCATCTATATAAATGTGTGTATACAAACCATCCTCGCAGAGCAGGCCCTGTACCCCAGGGGGGCACAAACACTTCCCAGTCACAGGGTCACACAAGCCACCATTCTGACAACGGCACAGGCTATTACAGGCCTGCCCATAGGTCCCCTGTGGACAAGCTGGAGAGGGAGAGGTGGGAAAAAAGGGAAACATTGGGAAAGAGCATTGACACCTTAATAATTGCAGTATGACTTAATGAATCCAACTGTGGACAATTCCTTTGGAACTCAAACACAGACTCATGTATGAGGGAAGAGAAAGTACATGCAGCCGTGTTAAGAAGTCAGTCAACACTTCCACCCTCCATCCTGTCTTTCCCCATGGTGTGTGCCCTCATGACACTCTTAATCTCTCTGGCCTTGTTAGCAGTTACAACATGAACCAGCTGGTTGTTTAAGATGTGCTAAAGTGTTACAATCCATCAAGGGAATGTCTGCTTAAATTCCATGTCACACTTTATTCACAGCAGTTTCATGTCACTCATGGGAAGACAAACCAGTTTGAAATAATCTATGGACTTAACAGCATTATAGTATCTTGTAATATCAAAATAGACACAAAAAATATAAGATTATGTGGTGCTATAACTTGCACCAGACGTGATGTGTACATGTGGAAATGCAACCAAAGTAAATGAACAGTACAGTAGGTGGGGTTATGAGGAATTCATTCTGCTTCATAATGATGGAACTGATACTGGGGTGTTTCCTTAGGCATGTTGAGGCAACATGCAAAACACACAGAGCTGTTTAAATAGCACAAAATATTGCTCTACCAATAATATTAAAAGTTGACTCTGGGAACTTGTCAACACATGGTTCTAGGCCATCTGATTTTCTGTTTGGCCAGAATTAAGTGTATAATCAGTAATTAGATAGCCACAACATTTTGCAAACAGAAAAGTCAAGTTAATTCAAAATTTAAACAAGATAATAGGCTATGTGTGTATAAACTTTTGGTAAAATACACTGACTGCATAAGTGAAATAAAAAAAACAAGATTAAGATGAAGATAGACATATTAAAGAAGACAATTAAAAGAGATTTGTGACTGAGATTTGTATTATAGAAAAGGAGCTAAACACAATATACTGTAATGCCAGGATGATACTGTATTTTGTACATTCAGCACACAAACTTTTAAATTAATTAAGTCACATATTTCTTTCTTGTAGCTATAACTTCATAGTGAAGTGACACCTGTGAAGTATATGGTCCTATGTCCGACCACTATGTTATTGTCTACTCTAACAATTCCCATATCTTTGCTTCAGGCAGTAATATTGCTCATCCTCTCTACCTCAAAATGCTACCCGTGTCCAGATACATCACCTCCAGGGTGTGCATCTGAATACTTCCACCTCAGGAGCTTGTTTCTAAAAGTGACAGATTGCTTCTAACGGACTTGTCCCACGTGCCTCTCCTCTTATGATTACCAGCCCCACTCGGGTTCAGACCAAAGACAGCCATTAATCATGGAGTTGGATGGGAACAATGCAGCCTTGCTTTCTAACCCAGTAGTGGACATCCTTGGCCTCAGGCTGTGCTCTTGCTGTGGGCCCTGGCCTCGCTCCAGTAGCAGACAGATTGATTCCCCCGGTGCTCTTGTGTTCGGGAGCCCATAAACAACCCAGCCTCCCACGCAGAGGAGCCGACAGGTTTTGATACATGGCCCTGGATCAATGCACACAGGGAGCTATCTCATCTCTCTCTAAAACTAGACCACATTGGTATGTGTGGTTCAAATAGACCTAAAAGACGATGCGTCCTGTGGGAAAGACCAGGTTGTGTGCATGTGCATGCGTGCTGCGCTGTTAACATTATCCACCTGTCATGTATATGATCTGGGCATAAATTATTTATTTTGGTTCATGCACATGTCTTGGCCAGAGAGTCATTTATATTTTATATCCTACAGAATGAAATATTCAGGTCCCCAAACTTTTTAAGAGATAGTTTGACATTTTGAGAAATATGCTTATCTGCATTCTTACTAAAAGTCAGATGAGAAGACCACTCTCGTGTACCACTCATATGGTAAACATATGAAGCAGCTAGCCTGTGCCAGGGTAGCTAAATCTAGTAGCTGGGGAGGTGGCAGTTCCACCTCCTGGGCACTGCAGAGTTGCCCCCGAGCAAGGCTACTAACCCCCAACTCACCCTGTACACTGCCACAGCCCATCACTCCACTGTCTCACAACATTTATATGTCTGTGTGACTGTATTTTGGGCCAATGTGTGTAAAAGAGATTCGTAAAGTAAATCTTTGAGAATTTTTGTTGCAAAGAAAAGATGTAATATACAATGCATAGATGTAACTGTATGTGCTGTTAACCACACTTACTCCCATTGCAGATGATCCCAGTCCACCCAGGTGAACACTGACATCTGTCTCTGTTTTCACTACACGCTCCATTCACACAGTCTTCACAGCTCACACTGCAGTCATCCCCAAACGAGCCATCAAGACACACTGAAAAAGAACACCGGTATAGAGATTTAAAAGGAAAACAATACAATTAAACCTAATATTTATTTAATTTATCACCAGGCATACATCATTTATGGTTTTTACTGTACCTATGCTGCTGTCCAGTCTAAGCTCTCCTCGACGCTCCCTCTGAATCTCTAATTCTTTTTCACTGTCACCATCACTACCATAATCATCCTCAGTGTCATAACGGGAGTGCAAGGCTGCTGTGTACTGCAGGAGCTGAGGAGCCTTGCGAAACAGCAGGTCTGGTAATCTGTGGACCTCCAGCTGTTCATCCTCTTCATCCTCTTCCTCCTCTTCTTCTTCCAGTTCTCTGCCATACAGAGCTAAACACAACCAGTACGAAATTAGAGTCAAATGATTTTAGATGGCAGAAACACTTATAATGTGTTAATTGTCCATGTTGTACAACAACTATTCGATCCAAGAATAACTATGATACAAATGTCAACTCACAAATGCAGGAGTGCTGGTCCTGATCCAAGCGGAAGCCCAGTCGACAAAAACACTCATATGTTCCCAGGGTGTTGACGCAGTAGTGTTCACAGCCTGAGGTTTCTGTTACACACTCATCATTGTCTAACAGAAGAATACACAAACAACAAACAGCTCAGAGAATGAAAGGGTATTAATAACAAGAGTTTGCTGGCAGACGGGTTGTGCAGATCAAGTTCAGGTGGGACCATTACTTTTGTTTCACTTCAAAGTACTCATTTAATTAAACTTTTTCTACCCATCTGGCAGTTCCTCTCTAGGTTGTACAAAAACAGTTGCTCCTTAGTGAGAAAAATGCCCTTTTTATTGTTTACTGCTCTGCAATGGCCTTGAAAAGCTTAATTTCAGTTGAGCAATCAGTTAGTAAATTCGCACTTGGAATTTATGTCCTTGCACACATTGTGCCACAACATAGAAAACACAAAGCAGTCTAGGTAAACTGCTATCAATCTAGCACTCTTACCATCACAGCCACAACCGTCTGGGTTCAGTCTGTGGCCAGCTCTGCAGCTGCACTCGTAGCCACCCGGGTAGTTTCTACAGAAGTGACTGCAGCAGGACTCCCCACTGATACACTCATCACTATCTGAGGAAGGCATGCAGTGGTAGGGTACAACAGAAAGCAGAAGCAGAGTCAGAAAATTGTGAATGAAAAAGAACGAACAGGGAAAGAAACGTAGACAGAGACATAAACTTAGCTGCATCACAGAGAGAAGTTCTTACCTACACAGGTTTTCCTGTCCTGGTCCAGCTGGAAGCCGTGGTTGCAGGAGCAGAGAGGGCCGTTGGTGGTGTGCTCACAGTGATGAGAGCAACCTCCGTTGTTCTTCTCACAGCTGTTGACAATCTCCATCTCAATGCCTGGAGGAGAGAGGAACAAAACCACAATTAAAGTGCACAACCAGAGCTGAAACATAAGGACAAGTTTATGGGGCATTTATGAGGACTATTTTGGTTTCTCCCAGTTTTGTAATTACAAGTTACAGATGAGGAGAAGGGGGAAAAAAAATCCATTCTTAAGCACAGATATAGTTGGAATGGAATTAGAAAGGTAAGTTAGTAAGTAATTAAGTACATTTGTACTTACCTACATATCTAATGTGACTGGACTGGATTTGAAACGGACATTTCTGATGTATTCTATGAGGCATGTCATTATCATTGTTATCCCACATGCTTCCTTAAGACTCTTGAAAGCATGCATGCAAGTTAGAGTGCAGCTTAGGATGTTTGTCAAAAATGTCAAATGTCTTTTTTTTGCAGTCATGAAGTAAATAATCATTTAACTTAAGTGTGAATTACAATCTATCTGTTGGTAACTAAAGTGGCAGTATACAAGAAACTAAGTAGACACAAAACTATGTTGCAAGTGTAGTTTTGGTAATTGTTTTGTTTACATATTGCATCGACTGCACTGGACACAAGTATTCTAATCTATTTTCCTTATTTACAAGAAAACTAAATGACAAAAATCCTTATTTGCACAAAGTAACGTGTTCAACAGTCAGCTGGAATTTTCTACAGCTTTTACTTACGGTAGCACTGTTTTCCATCAGCACCTAGTTCAAAGCCTGGATGACACACACAGCTGAAGGAGCCCAGCATGTTGACACATCCATGGGAACACTTGGCATGGCCTGAACCGCACTCATCAATGTCTATAAGGGACAGGTGATAAACCACAAAGGTGGGCATGTTTACACAGAGATATAGTGTACTGTACATACAGATAGACACACAATGCTTTTAATGTTTGATTATTGATTTGCGTTGTACATATATTGTTTTAGTGTGTTGTTTCTATTACCTATCAAACTTATTTATATTAACGTATGTGAAGTGTCATTGAGTTCCTTGACAAGAGCTCTATGAATAAAAATCACAGGAGCATGAGAAAGTCATGATGGCAAACATTTCGTATCAAAGATTTATCTGTTTTACAAAATTGCAAAACACAAGAAAATATCTCTGGGTCATATTAAGACATAGTCAGGGTCCAGATATTTTCAGAGGTGACATACGTCTTCTTGTCCTCTTTGACTAGGAATAAGTAACCTAGCCCTCTTGGCCAAGTTGCAGTTTACACAAGACCAGAAGGCCCCGGGTTATTATGGTTCATACTGCAAAGAATGCAAAAGAAACTGTTTTTTGAACAGACACACATGTATATTGAGACGAATAGTTTATACACCAACTCAGAGCCCTTGCCTGAGTTTTAGCTACACGCACACACTGACAGAAAGTCACAAATGTTTAAGGTCACAAGTTTTTGGGGGTCAGGTAAAAGCAATTTTAAGGGATACAGAGAAACTCAGTGATGCCTTTGTTTGGAGCTGTGTTTCTGGCACTAGATGTTAATGAACCAAACACACATACTGTCACAGCATTACAAAACTATGCTCCCATACGGTTTTAAAAATCTGGATGGGTAAAGGATTTCAAAACAATGTATCAAACACTTCCTCCAGCAGGAAGACTTTGTCAAGTCTTAGATTTCTCAAGCTTTTCCTTTCATTTTAGTAGGATGGATGTAAGTAAAGTTTCCAACATCAGCCTCTCAATCAATACCGCTCTGTATAGAGCAGATTTGCTTTCAAAAGGAGGGTTAGTGTTGCTGCATCTTATGGAAAAATCGTGAATTTCATTCTCTTATTAAACTGTTTGATAAATCAATTCTCAAGGTGTGTGTCAGTGTGTGTGTGTGTGTCTGTGTCTGTGTGTGTGTGTAATTCCTCACCTTCACAGTTCTTGCCATCTCCAGCCAGTGTAAAACCAGGTCGGCAGCTGCAGCGAACCCGGCTGCCTTCTGAAAGACACAGCTGGTTGCAGCCTCCATTCCTCTCTTCACAGGGGTCCCTCACTGACGCACACAAACACACAGAGGGAGAAGCACACACACACACACACACACACACAGACACAAAAATGTAGCCAGGTCAGCCCAGCAGGTGATTCCCTGACCTGCTGGTTAGTTCATGAGCACAGATTTAATTCCCAAGTTTGACTTAAAAAAAAAAAGGTTTCCCATACTGTGTGAGTCTGGTTATGACATCTGTAAGATGCCCAGTAAAAAAACAAAAAACATTTTCAAATCTGGGAGGACAAATCTGTATTCCTGCTCTTTACTGTACAGTAACTGTTTCCAAAGCTGCTTCTCAAATTTATTTTCTCTCTCTACAAGGAGTAGCCACTCAAAATGTAAACGGTAAAAGCAGCTAACTTATATCCGGAAAGATAATATATTTTAATGAACCCTGTTTGCCCAGTGATTTCTGACATATTCTTGCATCTGCTGGCAAAATGACTTACATTCACAATGTCTCCCATCTCTCTTCAGGTGGTAGTTCTTTCGACATTCACATTTGTAGTGGTTGTTCCCCATGTCCACACACTTATGTTCACATCCACCATTCAGAACCGAGCAAGAGTTAACAGCTTAAAAGAAAAAGAGACACAGAAACATGCATGATAAATAAGCATAAAACCCCATCATCTCTGGTTTCCAATTACAGAAAAATTGGATGTTAAACTCTGTCCAGTTAAAAATCTGAACTCACACAGGATCACAAATATAATTGAATTTGTTGGCAATCTAAAATGGCTTTCACACCTCAAACTCTGTGTAATTATTGAAAACACTCGGGCAAAGGCTGGAAGCTGGAAAATGATATTCAAGCTGGGTCCAGCGGGTACCCCTGGTTACTTTCTAATGATCTTTCCATTCCATTACCCCTGTGATTTAATGATGTGCCAAATATGAATATCAGCCCTGTGCCTTCTGGGTACTCTAAACACAGACATGATGACACAGACGGCCTGTAAAACTGAGAGAACGGCTGGCTTTTAACATTGATGACTTCAACAGGCACAATTAGCTATCCCTCCGCCTCCATCCCTATCCTCCACCACTAAGCTGTGGTGTATTAAGAATGAAAAATAAGACCAAAAGCAACAGAGGAGTTCCGATTTACAGCAAGCAACAAATTCTCTCATTACCTACAGGTTTTATGGTGCTAAAATGGGAAAAAGTACTTAACCATCTTATATTTCTCCATTTCAAATCATGTCAGAATTTCCCACTAGACACTGGGATTAATGAGAGAAGCTCAGCACTCCTTTTCTTTGTTACTTAAGTGTTGCTGGAAAGAGCTGCTATGCATCTGCTGTAAAGGGATGGAGATATTCATCCAGGTGTTCTCACACACTGGACATGGCTCACACTGTCAGAATTGGAAGTTGTGATGTGATCTTTGTATCCTGAAGGACCGTAACAATATGAAAAATTCAGCATTTGAAAAAAAAAAGGAAAAATATGTGTATGCATTGGATTACTTTAGCATGGCAATACTTTGAAATAAAAGACAAAACAATAAAAATACTGATATATTACAAGGACTTTGGTGGATATTTTGACCTCATTTCTGCTTTTGCAACATGTATGCATCTGTATTTGGTTGTGTTTTCTCACTTTGTAGCATGCGCATCTAGAAAATTTGCAATGGAGTTTTTTTTAAGTTGCAGTACATTGAGCTTTTCACAGCCACTGTAGTATATACAGTTTAGCCTAAAACTTACCTATGTAAATGTATATTTAATATTTGATTACACTACTAGTTATCATATGACACCATTAGCTGTTGTTGTTGCCGTAAGGTTGCCAGGCAACCAAACAAGAAATAGTCCAGCACAACTTTCCTCTATTTATTATTGTTTGTATTAAACATACAAGATATAACCTTTTTATTACTGAGCTTTAGAGGGGCTATTACCTGTACACAGAGACAGGCTAACTGTTTCAAGTCATTATGCTAAGCTAAGCTAACCTGCTACTGGTTCCAGCTTTATACTAAACATACACATATAAGAGTGGTGATCATCTCCTCATCTAACTCCCGGCAAGAACGTTTTAAGCATGTATGCACGTTATTCCTCTACTCAATTAATGAGGAGAGAATGCAGTATTTGGGGAGGAGTCCAAGGACTTTTTTTTAGCACAAGTGTAATGAATACTTCTGTTTTGTACTTACCAATGCATGTTCGGCCATCAGTGTGCATACGGAAGCCTTCACTGCACTCACAGTGATAAGAGCCCGGTGTGTTGACACATGTTTGCTGGCATCCTCCATTGAGCTCCTCACACTCATTAACATCTGAACACACACATTGTTAGGAATGTCAGTCTGCTTCTGACTTAATTTAGCAGCATGCCTGTCATGAATAAGGCACAATTAGAAGCCCATATAAATGGCCTCTCTGCTTGAGTCATCTTGTGTGTTAAAAAACTGGAACTTCAGCTGCTGAACAAGGACAGATTGAGAACTTTGGTTGGAGTTGTAGGATAATAATTCTGAATTACATCCTTTATAAAATCTCACATCCAACTTTGAGGCGGTCTAATTAAACATTCCTTCTGTGGTGAGCAAAATAAAGGAAAATGAAAAACACATTTAGATTTAAAGAGTTGTAATTGTGTAATTTTGACTACATTTTCTTCGCTGTTTTACTTTGGAGTACAGTTCAGTGTTTTCAATGTGTCAGTGTGCCTTTGAGCAAGACACTGAATCACCATCTGCTTCACAAGCACAATACCACACTGACGCTGTACTCTGACTCCTGTAAATACATGTGTAATGTCCTCAGGGTGAATGGCTTATCATGCTGTTTGTGCAGTAGTATGCGTGTAATCCATTTGTTTCCTGCACAGGAGAGAATTGCATATGGTTGCACGTGTGTCGGACTGAAGCTCATGTTCCACAGAGACAGAAGCAAGCTGAGAAGACAACATACCTGAACACTCCACTCAAGGACAATCAGACTTTACTACACATCTGGACAACACATCACACATCCTCCTGACCTCCTCCCGGTTGTCATCTCTGACTCGCAAGGGCTTTTTCGGCTCACGCTGGTGATGACAGAGTAGCTGTGTGCGAGGAGCGTGGGAGGGGAATATAATGTTGCATTTACCTTTTTTAGGGGGAGGGGGTTGTTAAACACTAAGAACATGTGGTTCAGTTTATTTGAGCATGCAACACTACCATCATTTTGGTTCTGCAGAGGTTAAAGTGCTTCCCAAGTAGTGCAAATATTAGAAATCATTTTTAAATAGTTTGCGTGTGTGTGTGCGTGTGATAAACCCGTGGGAAAAAGAAAATGATTTCAAGACTATTTTAATTAGCTTGTTTCCAATAAAAGGAGCTAAAGAGGAAAGGGGGGGGGGGGGGTGTCAAAGTGGAGCCCAGTTGCCAGTAAAAGAATCCTTTTCATACCCTGCACATAGTGTGATCAGGTTTAAGGAATTCATATTCATTTGCCTAATTTATTTAGACATCTGTCTGAGTGAAGAAACAAATAATTACTAAACAACCGCCTGTGAAGAATCACACATTCATGAACCGTCCTATCATTGTGGGCTCTTTTGTATATTAACACATTGGCAGCTATTGTAGAGAATGCCTAACATGCAAAACAATAGACGCAGGGGGAGGTTTGTCAAGGTTAATATACTTATTGGTCTCCTCATGTGAGAGGATTTCAATGGGAGACACACAATGGCTGCTTTTCACCGGTGGAAGAGGTGGTGTGTGTGGCAGCAGGGGCGGGAGTGGTGGTGGTACTGGTGTCAGAGGTCGAGGGGCATGAGGTCTGAATGGTATCGCGTGACACTGTCTGGCTCTAAGTGGAGCTGCTGAACTGGCATCTACAGCTATACAATGTGGCGGACCAAACATTTGGGAGCGCTGCTTTGGAAATGAACAGGTGGTTTTCAGAATGAGCACCACATGAACTGAAGTTACTAAAATAAGAAGAGGACCAGAGGCATTCTGGTGTGAGAGCACTCATTTATATGTGTTACCTTATATGACAGTATTTATCATACTTTTTTGCTTTAGTATTTAGTATGACTAACATGATTGAATTCTTTCAAATTTGACTATATTTTCATTTAAATTAAGGTTATATACGACGGCAGTCACCTCACACAGCTCTCAGTTTCCAGAGTGGCATACTAACTTTGAAAGTCCCACAATGATTGCTGATTTAAAAACAATTTATTTATTCTTCTTCAAGAGTTCAGACCCAAACTCGCTGCCTATCCCCATAAATACGACCACACATACAATTCACACAAAAAGCCGTAAAAGAAGAACTTCACAGCTGCTTCCGTTTGTCTTCTCCATTGGTTAGCTCTCTGACTTTAAATCATTAGTAAGTGACAATATCCTGTCTTAAAGGTTAAAGGTCAGGGGCACTTGTTCACACCTGTAGCTCTAAAGAACAAATGGGCCTTAGTGCCCAACACTAACTCAGCATATTTCTGTCAGATGAGACGGGCAAACTGCGAAAGTATACTGTCTGAGAAGAGAAGGTTATTAGAAAGCGGTGCTGCCTGTGTGGTTGGTTTAGACCTTTACAGCCTCGAGTCTAGACGGTTAAGTAGGTCTTCAGTTGGTCAAAATAGGCTAAAGCATGACAAAATCAACGACTAAATATTTCTGTAATTCAGTCCACATCGAATTCATTCTAATTCATTCTATTCATACTAAAATAAATAAAAAATAAAACTTTTTGGAGCAACAATGGAACTGTATGTTTGCAATGTTTTGTTGAGACACTGCTACTACTTGCAAGGCGAGGGTCACTTGACTGACAGCCAGAGGTTTTTGGTAGCCTTGCAAGCTTGTCTACTTGTATTGCAGAAAAAGGTCAACAGTGAAGAAGCACATAACACAACTGAAAATTAGTAAAACAGGTGTGATGTGGTACATATTTAAGGAAGAAAACAGCATTGTACATTTATAGTTGTAGAATTTGGCAAATGTTTATGAGGCGCTAAATGCATTCAACATATTTTTGTTAAGCCTTAAATGTACTCTCAATTCATTTTGGTGAGAAACACTGAAGGTAAACAAAACCATGCTTCTTTACAATGAAAGCTTCACATAATACCTTTAACCTTGTAATTTTCCCCATTATGTGCTATAATATACTGCTGTACAAATTGCACTACACAGAGGAATACATATGACTAAAGACTAAAAGTAAGTTTAAAGTTTTTATTTTATCTGTACAAAAATAGCTCAAGGGTATCATAATAAAACAATAAATTGACTAACATGTGCACTTATCTAAATCTAACGAGGGCAAATTAAGACTTATTTTGGTTTACTGCTTGTGAAAAAAGCTATTTTACAGCCATAAATAAATTACATTAAAATATAAAAAAATGTGTTATCGTATGCATTGTGTGTGATATTTTGTGTATGTTTTTTTGTTGAAAACATAACACACAACACCCGGTAAAGTCATTTTCATTCTGACATAAAAAATAAATAAAAAAACAGTGAAGGAAGCCCCGACTGGGCAGAGTACACATCAGCTACATCCAGATGTCCATCTTACCGTGACATGCCTTGCCATCTGGCCCTAGTCTACTGCCTTCCGGACACTTGCAGTAGTAGCTGCCAATGGTGTTACAACAGTACCCCTCACAGCCGCCTTCATTCACTTCACATTCGTTAACATCTGAAAGAAAAAGATTAAAAGACCAGTTTTACATAACATAACATAATGTACAGTCCACAAAACACTGCAGCTGAATGAGGACAGAAAGGTTTCTAACTACCTTTCAGCTAACCTTCCTTACTTTCTGTTTAGTCCCTTCATGTATTAATTTATTTCCCCTTTTCAGCAGGACAGAAATCTACAAAACTTTTCTAGAGTTTATTTGCACCTTTCACTTTACAGATCCCAACACAGTCTCTATGACAGAGATAATTTGGTGTCAGTGAACTCCCAGAGGTAAAAACAAAACTGTTGTTTGTGAGTCTGTTGCCAATCATTACCAACCAGAGCATTCCTGGTGGAAAATAAAAGGAACAGGAGAAGCTATAACTTGCATTTTCCCACATGTTGTGGTTCACCATTTTAATTCACAACAGTGAAACTGAGAAGTCTGCAGTCTTCTACCTTATCACTTCATACAACATATGCCAGTAGTTCCACTCTGTCATTAGTGTGTATCTAAATCCAATCAGCTATTTCCAAAGAAGCCTTATGTTGATCCACTCTGTTTTCATGGTCTTCCCATGTTTCCAATGTTCTTACTTGTCTCTGGGGGTGAAATGGTTTCCAGGTTTGTTCCCTGTTTAGATCTTACACAGGAAAGGCTCCTTTTTCTGGTGCTGTATAATGATTCCTATCAACTGTGCATCACTACCAAAGAATGTCTCTAAACACATTATACTTTGTGACACGCAAGAGAAAAGTTCTAATATGATCAATCTGTGACACACAAGACGTTGGTATACCCCAAAAATTGTCATTTTTTGTCATTAAAACTGGCTTGTGTAAATGTGTAACAGTAAATGTTTGCCTCATGGTACTGTTGGTATCTGCAAAACAATGTTTAATCATAATTTTAGCTGATTAATATTGCAGTATAGTCATTCAAGTAAAAACTAACTAAATAGCGGTTCATCGAAACTTAATTTCCTTGTGTGCTAAATATATGCTATGACATTCAATATATCAAAACACTACAGCACAGTCTATTCTACATTTTCACATTTTATGTTGAAAAAACTATTTCTCACTAACTAAAATAATTTATATTAAAACAGTTTTCTGTTGACAGCATTCTTGGCCAACTATGATAAAAATGCACTTCTCATATTGTGAAATGCTTCCGTATATGCAGAAATGGCTTTGAGAGATAAGAGGAATTTCTCATCCCTTTCGGATGGGGTTGAATGAGTGCATTCCTTCAAATAATTCTGATAAAAATATTATTCTCTTGTGTGAAATACAAAATGTTCCTGGATACAGTATTTAATCTAATGTCCTTTGAACTTTATCCGGATCCTTGTAGATCCTTGTAACAAATGTTGCATTCGGTCTTAATGGGTTAAACTGCTGCTATTTTTACTGTAGTACAAGTCCATGTGACAGCAACATAGCCAAACCTTTCACAGATGATGCAGTGTTGTATGTTTGGTTTAGAAAAAGGAGATGGTGACAGAGAAATGCATTGCCCTTCCATGGACACCTCCTGTCAAGGAGGGAGTCTAAGGTAACAGAGGGGAAAGGAAAAGTTATTTAGTATTTTGTCCCCATCTGTTTAAATGCTTAAAGGGACCCCTTAGCTTTGCATTGAGCAATAGTTTATCTTTGAATAACAGGAAATTTCAGTAGCACAACTTGGAGAAACAATTTGGAAAGAAAGTGACAGGAGACTGTGAGAGGTAGACAGCGGAATGCTTTACAGAAACAAGATTTCTGGCAGGTTGTTTGTGTAGATTAATTTAGATTATGAGATTATATAATTAAGGTGTATTACCTAGTTGCCTATTGGTCTTCTTTAATAAGCAAACCAACTATTTCCATGCTTGTAATTTAGGTTTTTTGTTTAGGCTGTAATGTCCCATTTCCTAAATCAGCGGGTGGAAAGGCATTTTTGCAAAGCAACCTAAACCTAAAGCACATACTGTTAAATGCATCATTAATAAGTAAATGAATACATAGATGCGCTCTAAGACCCGTCTGGTAAAAACCTGAAAACAACTTGTGTTTTAGGTTTCAACATGCTAACAAGTAGACTCAAGGCCTTGCCAGTATTCTCCTGTTGGTCCATTCAGAGTTATGTCCATTGTGTGTATTTAATCTGTCTCTAGCCTGGAAATCCGTTTGAGCAAAATTGTCTCCAGCTGACCATGTGAGATGTATTATCGATACACTATTCAGATCATTTTAAATGATGGGATGCATAGCACAGTGGTTTGGACATTGCTGAATCATTACAACCACATGTATTTCACATGTATCTTCCCTCATGAGAGGACGAGATATGAAAGCATTTGTTATAGTAGGTGAAACAAGCCAAAGAGAAAGAAAAGCAGCTGAGGTAAACAGGCTCATAGAACAAATGTTTCTCTTCTAAAGTAGTTAATAAAGGGTAAGAATACGAAACAAATGTTTTCATGTCCCTGGCATTTTGCCATTCTTTTCTTAGACAATTGACATAACTTTACCTTACTTTACATTTAGTATGCTTAATAGAAGTTAACCAAATGCTAATATATAGGCCTACTGTGTATATTTGTGTAAGTTTTCTATTACGCCTTAAAATCAAAAAGGTCTTGTGACCCCCCATTAAGCTTTGGCTTGTGCGACATCTAGTGGCAAGTAATTTTTAAATATATACCCCACTGACAGTATATATAATTAATCAGAGTCAGAATCTGAATCAGGTTTAAGTAAGTTTTCACATATGAGGAATTTGCCTTGGTACATTGGTGCATAAGAATGGACAGAGCTTACAGGTCTGAGAAGTGAAGCCAATGTGCAAGTGTCTTAAACTTGGATTCTTTGTAATGGCCAGCAGGGGGTTGATCCACTGGCTGCAATAAAAACTAATACCATGCACTCTTATGGAGAAATGACCCAACTTCTCACTTTATTTGTTAGCTTAGTAAACTGTTTCCTAATGAGTTTATGGTCTTGATTGCTAGTTTCAATTTTTACATTATGATGTTCATTTAGTAAATTATGGTCCAATTTAGAGTAAAATAGGCAGTAAAGCGGAGGATGCTTTTGAGCATGGCCACCATTCGATTGACAGTTCATTCTGAGCGAAACTGTCAAACTACGCAGGAAGACCAAAAGATTCTGCTATTGCGTTGCCTATTCCTCACTTAAAATCATTTCAAAAACATATTTTAGTGTACTGTTTATCTGTAATACGAGATCGCGTGTGACTAGGCAAGCTGCCATTGTTTTCTGCTACGGACAAATCGAAACCGCACAGCCAACGCAGCTCAACTCGCAGTACGTCACATCTGCTCTGATGAACTGTCATGGCGACGACAATAATGCCAAACTCAAGGCTTCAGACAGTACTCCACAAACCAAAGGGTGACGTTGCGATAAGTTCACACTTGGTATGTGGCAATCTGTAGTATTCTGCAGGACCTCAGAAACTAAGGATGGGTCGCCATTTTTGTTTTTCAGGCCACACCCACGCTTGGTTTCTAAGGGCAGGCAGAGTTCTGGGTCATCTGGCCTTTTAAGAGGATACAATAGAAGAGATTGTTCAGCTGTCCTTCTGGTTAGGTGGTGGTAGTTATTTTATTGAAAAACAAGAAATAATTGCCTAGTTAGGATTATATGTATGCAATTTTTAAATGTGCATTGTTTTCCTCAGCAAAGAATAATAAACGGCCGAGTGACACTGCTCACAGCAGCTGTTTAACCCTCCTTGCCCTGTTCTGGCCTCCTTGGCTGCATTGCTCTGCTTTGGCCTTTACAAGCCTTTACTTCCACAGTAGTCCAACGTTCAGCACATTCCCCTTCACTAGGGGGATCTAAGAAACCTTCAGTCTAACCCTGAAAAATGCACACACACACATACACAGTTGCACACAGAGAAACAACCCTGCTCTGCACTTTTCATTAACTTCTAGGGAAGTGACAGTGGCCCATAACCTCAGGGTTCTGCCCCCTTACACATCTCCACTTTGATCCTGCAGCTCCTGAGAGCCCTAATGAGCTCTCCATATCAGCTCAGGGTCATTTGCCATCACCATCAGAGCGAAACCAAATTTGAAGAAACATTCATTCAGGCACTGTCAAGGCATTTAGCGTAACATGTCAGCAGTGCCTACCAAGACCAAGCTGCACTGCCAGAACTCATCTCCGTTCCTAAGTATAAGCCTTATTTTAACTGTAACCTAAAATAAAACCTTTGCTATTTTTTAAACTTTGTGGCTTGGCCTTCCACAAGAGTCATCCATCATGCTGAAAGTCATCAAATGAACATAATTCTGGAGTAAAAGTGCTTTAACATGAGAACGAGAATAGCTCACTTGTTAGTGGGATGACTCTTGGACCAAACCATCAAGAATATTTTACTATAGCATGTATGTATTTGAGAGACTTAAGGAATTGAATTATAAAGATAGAATGAAATATAAGTAGATTTAAGTCTGCTACATGCAGCCAAAAAACCCATGGTTTGCACAACAATCGTGTGAGGGAGGTGAAGATTAGAACTTTTTAGTAGCATAAAATGGATTTATAGCAGGGCAATTATCATTTTTCTCTGGGTCTAGACATTACAAGAGAATGAAAGTTCATGAAAATGTCACTGAGATATGAAGAAATAGTACAACAAAAGAGATCTGTTGAACAGACAGACAGAGTTGAGATAATCCACATGGTATCTGCACACACTGACTTTTAATTCCCACAGAAAAATATGTGTCCTTGCCAAAAAGGCTGAAGCAAAAAGAAAATAATATTATTATTATGTGGATCAGGGCTACATACACAAGACAATAACAAAAATATAGCAACAACAAGCTAGATACTATAAGACTTTAAAGGGTGTATGTTTTGGGGCATGTTTCCCTTCACTGTTGGGTCTCTCAACCTCAATCTCTATTACCATCAGTCATGGTGATTGCCATGGTGCCAAGCAATAAACCAAAATACAAACTTCAAAACATCTCCTCAAACGTTTGCATGTG